TGATACAACATCTATGCTGTCGTTGGCCTTGCTCGCATGCTCAGGTCCATCCCATGGTGTTGCCTCTGGCTCGACTATCAGACTATCAGGAGTAAGTGCCCTGCCTCAAGTATGTCGTTGGACTCTGAAAATTGGCAGGACCTGGCGATTGGTTGGCACCTTCGACTTCTTGCGCCCGTCTAGTGTTCTCGCCTCAGCTGCAGTGCCAACAGTCTGTCTGTGGTCCGGCGCCATGCATGATGCTTTTGCCTGTTGGTTGGCATGTGTCCCGACACTCCCTTTGCGTTCTCCCCCGAGCTCTCTGTGCCATCAACAGCCGTTGCCACCCAGGGCCTCTTCTCTTTCAGGCAGCCTAGCCACCATACTTTATAGGACTGACTTGCGACCCAACCACCCTGGGGGTAAGCATCTTGCAGGGGAGCATTCACTTGTGCTATGCCATCTTGTGATTGGCCACTCTCTCCGTGCTCCCTTTTTGTGGCCATGGCATCGTATTCTTCGGAAGAAGCTGCTTCATCCGCTGGCAAGGAGGAGGGCACTGGTGATCCCCATGATGAGGCTCTGGCGGCTGCAAAGTCGGACTCAGGGAACAACTGGCAAAATGCTCTGACGCCGCTTACGGTTGGCACAGAAGTTGAAGTGATCGGAGGCCATCGGAAACACCTCATCGGCCGTCGAGCGATTGTGCTCCCAACTGACAGTTGCGACACCAATACGAGTCGGAATCCGTCGGAACTTGAAGATGCTGCAAGGACCGAGGTCTGAACAGACCCGTATCTACACGATAGATCGGGAGAATCTTGTCCCACGCCTGGGATCGGAGGCCACCCGGGCTACAATGGACGATGGCATGCAGCCAAGCATGCGCTGGAGGTATGCCCCTCCACCATTGACCCTCTTCAGCGCCAGATTTCTCCTCGGTTGGTCCCCGATGAAGTATCTCGTACCTCCGCCCGCGCCAAAGCGGGATAAAGCGGGTGTCTGGATCAATCCGCCATTGCGAGTTGCTCTTCCCAGTCATGGACAGCGCACCTCGACCCGGAAACGGGAGGCACCGCCTATTACAACGAGCAGACCAAGGAAGTTACATGGCGCAAACCCACTGCACCCCTCCACCTACAGATGGAGCAAGTACAGGAAGCGGCTCCAACTTCTGTGGTGGCTGCAGCTGCGGAGGCTCCGATGGAGCAACGAGGCATCAACCCGCCAGGTCCCTGCGGATGTACCACCACCTCGCACTCCAAGCCCTTCGCCCACCGGAAGAGATGCGAAGCCCAGAGTGGACGACAAAGGCCGACTCAAGCCTACCCCCAAAGTCCGAAGACATCAAGCTGGCAGAGATATATCTTCTGCGAAGGAGACCTCTGCCCTCAGCTCGAGCACTGGCCTTGGCAAACCGCCTCCAGGTGATGACTCGGCAGATCCATATGAGGCGGCCTGGCAGATCCAGTCGGGGACCTTCTCTTGAAGTCTGCTGGAGCAGTGGCAGCTACACGGCGCTCCGAGCCTTCGATCACCCAGCCTGACCCTGATGGTGGTGAACTCTCGACTGCCCCTCCACGGCAGAATCCCAAACGTACCATGACAGCCTCTGCCTCAGCTGCCAAGCGGTCTCGCCAAACAAAGGAGGTTTACAAGCCAAAGAGATCTATTTGGTTTGATGTGGAGGATGAAGCAGACTTGCCTCCACCGGCATCAAGCAAGCCGCGACCAAAGCCATCCCCGGCTCGTACAGCTACGGCAAAGGCCCGAATGATGGGCAAGTTGCTGCAGATCTCTAGGCGTAACAGAGCCCAGACCAAGCCGAAGGCTTCGTCTGCCTCAGAGCCCGCACAGTCTGCAGACAGCAGCGCATATATGAGTGTCCAGTGCATGCTCACAGCTACCCAAGCACATCACTCTTATATCTGTGACGACACTTCTCGCCTCGATGTCCCCAGGTCCGACCAACTCCCAGCTGAAGCTGGTCCTGATACGGCAGGCGGGGCCTCGCCGGAATTTAGACTGCTGCATCAGCTCCGTGAGCCTACGCTTTGGAGGTCAGACCGGCAGGCACGAAGTTCCGCCGAACACGGTGACATGTATGCTGAGAGCTATCCTTGCGGTCTGCCTGTTTCAGGACATACCCTGCTGACATGTCGGATGCCAAACAGCACGCCAGGATTCTCGCAGGCTGACCTGATGAGTGTGAGAGCTGCGGGGAACACCCTGCACTCTTTGCACATTGGTCCTCTAGGTCTCGAACAGCCTCCCAGAACACCGACCTCCATGCCGGCCGGGACTGCCAGACATCGGAAAGGTGATGCCACCCGTCACCGGACACTCGACTATCCGTGTTTGCTGCGAGGTATGCTTGCTACACTGGCAACAGGCCCAACTCTGCTGTCTGCCTCCACCACAGCCCTTACAGCATGCACTTCGTTTGGTCAGTACCGTCTGCAGGGATGGCCAGATGCCTACCAAGTGCAGCCCCACGAAACATGTGCCGTTTGCTCCCGCCTACCACGGCCGGGCTCGACTGTTATGCTCAGAGAACAACTACAGTTAGACCCAGCCTCGGGACTTCAAGATGCCGACCACTCAGTGTTTTCCAGTAACCTGGTACAGTGCTGTGCATGGTCCCTCCGGCCCCTCTCAGGTCTGCCAAACACACTGGGCACAGGCCCGCTTCCGCTGGCCAATGCACCTGCAGAGATCCTGTTCACATCTTTCTGCAGGATATCCCAGGCACACGCCTGGCCTTCAGACTGGCAGACCCTATAGATGTGCTTGGTGCAGATTTCACTTCAGACAAAGAACCCCGCACCAGCCCTTCCACCTACGAAGGACAAGGTCCGCTACCAATAAGATGGGGCCCTCGGCGAGTCTGGAAGACACCTGCACCCGGCCTGAGATCTCAGAGCCTAGTTTTGGCCATGGACTAGCAACAGTCACACTACCTACAGAAAGGCACCTAGACCTGCAATCTGGTTGGTACCGGCACTAGACATCATCTATTCTACGCCCAAACCGAGCCAGCTCGGTCCCAAGTCCGAGCATTCTCCCGCTATCCCGAAGGTTACTACTGCGCGACACTCCTTATTGTGCATCTCTAGGCAGTGGCAGACCAAAGGGAGAATAGGAGCGAGGGTTAGCAACAGTAGCCGTCTGTTGCTGGGACCACAGTTGTGTCCGGAGCGGCACTTCTGTGGGAAGCCATGGCTAGAGCTCAAAAGTCCGACATCTCTGATGAGTACCGTCTCGCGGGACTGCTTATCACACCAAACATCACTCACTATATTATCTCCCGAAGCTGTTCTCACTGCGGTCGTAGGCCACCAAAGCTTCAATCTGCTGCAACTAGCCCGCAGGTCACAAATCTTGGTTGGTCTTTACTTACGGTTGGCCTCTCGCCCGACCTGCCTCCTTCTATCTTCGAACCGCGTGTGTTTTGCAGCCATTCCCGGCTGGAGTGCCCAGCCTCTCATCTTATCCAGAAGCCCTGTGCTGAGTCTGCTCTGGAATAGACTCCAGCTCTCGCCGCTTGTGCAAACTCCCGTGCACATGCATAGGTCTATTGAAGCTTATCCGCGACGACCCCGGATGCCTTCTGGTAGCAGTTCCCGGCCTCGGCCTCTGTGGCCTCTGTGCGCCTTTCTGTCCCTTCTGACCCTCAGCTAGTACCCAGCCATATCTGGTAGCAGGTGTGCCCTCATCTCAGCTACCTTTACATGCTGTTTCCGCCACGGCCCCAGCTACTTCGTGCCTGCACGGCCCCCTCCAATGGACCGCGACACGTAAACGTTCCTACAAACGTGCTGTGAGGCGCGCAGCTGCTCATCCTGAACAGCGCACCGTCCACCGAGGACGAACTCACACACTAAGACAGCTCCACAGCAACTACGATGGCTCCCGCCCTGACCCTGGTACAAGCTGCAGGCCACGCCAGCTTGCCATGCAACGGCGACCGGATCGACTTCTTATATGGAGCTGGAATGCCGGAGGCCTCACCACTGATCTCTGGCATGAGCTTCTTCTGACCCTTGCTGAGACTCCGGTTCTGCTGCGGCCGCAGGTGGTACTGCTCCAGGAATCTCATTGGACTGAGGCCATGGCTCCTCAGTTTCAATCCGCTGCCTGGACAGTTCTAACCTCTCCTACCACCGATTGCAAGGCAGCCGGCCTGGTGGTTCTGCTGGACAAGCAGCTGTGCAATCAAGGCCAGCTTACATATGCAGACCCGCTCCCGGGCCGAGTACAGCATGTCCGACTTGCCTCAGCCAAGTGGGCCCTTGATATTTTCAACATCTATCAAAAGCCACAAACCACACTCAAGGAACAGGCAGGGGCCTCCAAGGAACTTCGAAGGAAGGTATGGCACACTCTTAGAGCAGAAATTAATAGGACACCACTCAGACACACTCTCGTTGTTGCAGGCGATCACAACTGTGAGCTGCAACCCTCGGCATCGGTGGGTCCAAAAGCCAACTGTGGCACAGGTACACCGGCAAGAGATCAACACTTGCTGCAGCAACTTCTGGAAGATTAATCATCTTGTGCAGCTCAACTCCTGGAGCCGCAAGGCTGGGCCCACCTATCTACACCACGCCGGACGCAGCCTGATTGACCACCTGATGGTGCGAGGCACACAAGCCGACAGTCTAGCCCGCTTGGCTCACCCACAGTCCACGCCGCTTGCAGCATGGAGGCAGGGCGGCAAGCATCTACCGCTTGTAGGCGCCATTAGTAGACTACAGCTCTTTCAGAAGCTTAACAAACCGCCTCCTCAGTCTACCAGGACGTGGGATCACTGGGCCCTTGTCCAGAAGTGCCTTGACCGGCATGGCACCAGAATTAAGCGGCTACGCCATCAAGTTAGCCAATGTTTGCCCCAGGTTCGTACCCTCACGGAGTTGGACGATGTCCTCACTACCCAGGCAGCGAGTGTTTTCCCGAAACCAGAGCAACCACAGCGTCTGGCCGTGTGGCAGACCTCGGAAATGCAAGGTGGTCTCAAGGCTATGTGGCAGGCTTATCAAGCCTGGAAGCGACCGGCAGGTGCTGGGCTCAAGATGATTCTTGCTAAGTGGCGCAACTATCAGCTCTTCAGACAAAAACAGCGTGCATTTAAGAAAGCCGGCAAGGAAGCCAAGAAGCACTGGTTTCACTCCCGACTTGCGGATCTACAACAGGCCGCGCAATCCCACGACACACGGCTGCTCTATGCTGGAGTGCGATCTCTGGCTCCCAAATCCAGGAAAATTGCAGTCCAGCTCCGCGACGCCGCCGGCCGAATGCAGGACGCCTCTGCCCAGGCTGAACAGTTGAGAGTACACTATGAGAAGCTGTACACTGCTCCGGAAGAGTCTGCCCCTTCTTCCCAGCCTGCCAACATAAGTATGGATGTTACTGCCGCAGAGGTGCTACATGCTCTCGATCATCTCCCGATACACAAGGCTGTACCCAGAGGCATGGCCACGACATCGCTGTGGCGTAGCTGCTCAGATGTGCTAGCACCCTATCTGGCAGAAATGACGAGAACAGCCCGACAGGTTCCGCAACTTTGGCGAGATGCATGGATAACTTTAATTCCGAAAGTTCCACGACCTCTGGAACCCAAGCATTTACGCCCTATAGGGCTCACGGAAGTGAGTGGACGGGCAATTGCTCGCATACTACAGCAACGACTACGGCCTCACGTTCAGCGCTACTTACACTCCCTCCCACAATATGCCTATTTAGCTCATCGAAGCACCAGCCACGCCATTCTTCGAGTACAATCTCACTGCAGACAAGTCCAACAGGCCTGTTCTGCACCGGCGCGGAAACTCATGGATGCCTACGAGAACAAGCCCAAACCTTCCACGAATCAAGGCGGGCTGCGGCTCTCTCTGGATCTGACTTCCGCTTTTGATGTGTTATCCTGGCGGCTGCTGTCGGAAGCCATGCACGCTGCTAACATACTTCAAGAGCTTAGGGATTGGGTTTCCAGCTGGTACGGTGAAGTCACGTACCATATTCAACATCTTGGTTGGGAGAAATGGGTGAAGGCCTCACAAGGAGTGCGGCAGGGGTGCCTGCTGGCACCCCTGCTATGGGGACTATGCGCCGGGCACCTCCTTATTGCACTACAACAAACCACATCCATTGAGTGGGTGGCACAGTCGGTGACAGGATATGCAGACGACTTTCATGCCTCTGACATGGTCACTACCTATGCTGACTTGGTCCAAGCGGAATTTCGCATTGGCTCCCTGCTGGATGTCCTTACTGATGCACAAATGCGCATAAACTCCAAAAAGTCTGCTATCTTGCTACGAGTATGTGGTCGGTTTGCCAAACGGTGGTTACAACAGCATAGACTCAGTAAAGACGGAGCACCGTATCTGCGTCTGCGCACCCCTCCGGGGCGTTGTTTCGAGTTTCCGCTGAAGGATCAACATGTCTATTTGGGAGTCTCCATCTCCTACTATTCTGCCGCAAAGCACACTGTTGCACACCGCATGCAGGCCGCCAATCAGGCCTGGCAGAGGCTGCGAAAAATTCTGTGCTCCCGCGCTCAGCTTGATGTTCGCAAACGCATTGCCATTTGGAGGGCGACTGTGGTTCCCGCCATGACATATGGCTTGGCTGCTACCGCCCCCAGTTTGCGTGATCTTCAGCGAATCCAACACCAGTTCACTAAGCAACTTCGTGCCATCACCCACCTCTATGCTCACCTCAGCAAGGTCTCCACCTCCGATCTGCACCGAGGTTATGGCGTTCCCACGGCGCTTGACATTCTTCACAAAGAGGCTCATTCCCTTCACCACCAACTCCACACCAATCTGCATTTTGGGAATACTATCACGGATCAGCATGTTCGGGATGCTCGTGCAACTGCTGCTCAGCTGCAGGCCTGGCAGGTCGACCAATGGCATGCCCAGAACTCTGGAGCAGATGTACCTTCTCAGGCACCCTTTTCATGTCATACGTGCGGAAAGACCTTTCACTGCTATCGCCTTTTACGGGTACATGAATCTGTTGAGCATCGTCAGAAAGCTCCAAAAACCAACGAGGTTGTCTTTGATCGCAGCCTCCATAGTCTGAACGGCCTGCCTACATGTCGTCTGTGTGGTCACGTCTTTCGACAGTGGGATAACCTAAAACAACACATCAGACGTAACCGCTGCCCCACTCTGCGGGGGCAAAGTGTGCCTTCCATTCCCTCTACAGGCCAGCAGCTCCCTTCTACAACTGCCGACGATGCTTCAGTCCTGCCCTCGGATCCAGTCCTGATCAGTCAGCCTGACACGGCTGGCCTTGCCCCTCCTATACCTGATGCTATTATGCCGGCAGCCACCACTGCATCCCCCTCTGCAGCTCCCGATACCCCGCTGATCCTGTGGGACTCGGTGATCTCCAGGCTACAGCAATGCCGCTGGGTGGATCTGGCGAGTGATCCTGCTATTCAGCAGTATCTCCGGCACCGCTGTCCTGTATGTTATCAGTGGAGTGCCGATGCAGTTGGGCTCAAGCACCACATTGCGCATGCGCATGCCTCGTGGCTCGAGACAAAAGAAGCTGCACTTCAGCTGCTTCAGGTCTTCCGTCGTCACATCGTTCTACCATGTAGGTTCTGTCACCAGATCAAGGTCAATAAGGACAGACACTACTTCCAGTGCCCAGTCTTGAGTATCTGTGCTTATCTACAAGCCTGGCATGACCAGCTTCACCCTGGACTACATGGATCTCGACGAAGAGGAAGCCAAATTTTTCGGGACAGACAGCCAGAGAGCCATGCCGCCCACCAAGCGGCCTCGACCAGAGGAATCCTTCTCGACCAGGCAGACGATCAAGGGCAAAGGCAAAAATGGGAAAGGGAAAGGCAAAGGAAAGCCAATGGCACCGGCAACCCGCTGGGACTATGCAAGTGGTTCCGAGCAGTGGGAGACTCCGTGGGCAACCGAAGCGATCCAGCCCCACCACCAGGGGGACCGAGCTCAGGATCCGTACCAGCTGCACATGTGGAATCTCACCAGGCTGGTTCTGCAACAAGAGCAAACACTGGCATCCCTTCGCCAGGACATCACCCTTTACCTCTTCGTCAAGACGGGACAGGGCAGCATCGTGTCGCTTCTGCATCAGACTGCGGAAAAGTGGCGGCAGACGAAGGAAGCCTCGCCAACCGGTCACCGAGTGGATGCAATTTCGCTTGGAGATATCCCTACGTCCACTTGGGGATCCCATCTGGAGCACTTTGCAAACATGGGTGGGTCAAGCAGCTTGGCACCTTCTCGGATGTCGACTTCGACGCGAAAGGCCTCAGTACAACGGTCTGGTCGAGCAAGTGCGGCAAGGGATGTGATTGCTGGTGCGAGCCTCAAACTTGGCACTATCCTTCAGCTTAGTCTTCATAATGCCGGCAATCTGTGCTACCTTTTAACAAAACTGTGCTAACACTTGCATGGGCCGTCCTACAGTTGCAGCACCACGGCACCGACTCTTATACATTGCATCCTTGCTTCCGCGCCTTGGCCTCCCACCCACGGCACAACCAAGCCACTCAGGTCACTCAGCTTATGCAATGGCGCTTGCTCCTTGGGCAGTGGACTCAGATTGGTAGACAGCATGACATCTGTGAGTTCCTTGCATATTTGCTTCCCAGGAGTCTCACACTGAGTGCAGACTTAGTAGTCTCCAGATGGGAGGCCCGTCACTATCGAGATGCGCAGCTCTGTGTGCTGGACTCTGGTCCTGCCCATCATCCGATTCCAGTCCCACTCTGTGCTGGTGAGGTGTGTCATCTGCAATGGTGCATAGACGGTTGGCACTCACAGTCCAATGTTCATGCCTTGACTTCGCCGGCCCCACTCGTGTGCTTGCAACTTCTTCGCTTTCACAATGAGGTCGGGGTTGTGCAACGTGATCCAAGACCTCTCACAGGCCACCTCCATGTTGTCCATCTGCCAGTCCTCAAAGCCGGGAGTGAAGCTGAGCGCTGCAACCTTGAGTGTGATCACTTGCCTTATCAGGTCGTGGCTATGGCGTTGCACCACGGGGCATCACCGACCGAGGGACACTATCAAGCTGTTCTCTGCGGTCAATCATTTTATGGGGGAGATAAAAAGTGGCTCACAGATGACAATCGCCCTGCCTGCATCCACAATCATGCAGACTCACAGCTTCATCGCAGTGCCACTTACGTGCTCTGGCTTCGCTATGAGCCAGGTCTTATTACTGAGTGATGAGTTTAGTTAGATGTAGGACGATTAGGCAGTGTGGTGCCGGCCACAGTGCCCGCCACAGACTCCAGAAGAGACTCCGATACGACAAAGTCGTATTGCTAGCTCGCTATGCAGACATTGGACGTCATGCAGCGTGGGGAATGAATGCTCCTGCTGCTTCGGCTACTCCTGCTGCTGCTGCTGCTGCTGCTGCGACGAGGTGACATGACATCGACGAGTGCTAGTGGTGCTATTTCTCGTCCAATCAAGACCGGGGCTACCTTCTGGCGGTCCGAAGCAAAACCCCAATGCTCAAGAGGCTGTTTCCGACATCATGCCCGTTTGCAATGCGAGATGAGCACAATGTGAGAATTCTGAACCATTCTACATGAATGCAAGAGTAACAAAGTCAAAGATACAGTGTCGTGCTTGAAGCCTGCAAGTACAACGAAAGGGACGCCGAAAATCAATACTTCGCCAAAAGTACCGGCGATATCTTTATCCGGTGCCTTCAGGAAGACCATTTTTGCCCATGCTTTTTGTGAGCTGGAGCAGTGGACAAATATTGTATTGTCCGACAATACAATTCGAGCTATACATGTTCTGCCAAGGCCAGCGAGATCACACGCCTGCTCTGCGCTATGCCAAGCGCATACTGGACCGTTGTTCTGCAGTGGACTAAGGGTATCTAAAACCAGCACGTTTACAAACTGAGCCGCCTTACTTTTCTGGATTCGGTTTGTATGAACTTCTTGCCAGTCCTTCGGACCTCGAGCTCAGCCTAAGTGATTAAAAGTGCCTGCCCGACTTCCGTGTGATCCTGCGAGGACAAGAACCACTTGCTGCCCGCACCATCTCCCGAGGCACGAACTCCCGATGAGAAGCAGGATGGTCGGGATAAAATCTCTGCTGAAGACAGTTCAAGCCTTAGTAAGAGCTGACCGGTCTGGTCGTGGAATTCGTGGATCACGGCAAGTGAGGTTCGCACACGCCCGGTTGACAGTTGACATGGCACACAGACAACCGCTTCATCCATATCCAGCCGAGTCGGCAAACGGACATGCACTGTCGTGAGCGTGTGCTGCCTGGAAGGAGCAGCTGAAAAAAAACTGGACCATCGAGGCACTTATACTCCGACTTGAACTGTTCTTCTTGCTATCGGCCCGAGACGCTCTTCTCTTTCGCGCTGTTGGTGTCGGCTGTTTTCAGGCATACACAGGCTTGTTGGATCAGACCCGACGTTCCAGCAATCTGTGCAACGATCTCACCTTCCCTTTTGCACATACTGCGGATATCAGCATTCCAGAGCAGCTGGCATTCAGGCGCAGAGTTTGCCGCATGCCGAGGATGCGAAAGTTGTGACCAGGTGCGGCGGGAAGCTGTTGATGTGGATCAGGTTTACCGAGCTTATTGCGGCAACAGGTTGTAGCCAGGCGCCATGCACATGTCTAGCCTAGCTGTTGGCTACTCAAAGGATTTCCTTTCAAGTGCGGTCGCTTATCAGGTCCGTCCGCAAAACGAGCATGGTAGTTGTGCGGGTAAACACCACATCCGTTTTGCCAGCATCCTGTCCCATTTTCGAAGTTGCCAGTGGAAAGGATCACTCTTTGACGCAAGATGCTTACGATTTGACGAAACTGGATTGGAACTGCGCGCATTTGTGCACAAGGAGTGCATTCTTACTTGCTCGGTAAACACAGTCCAGCAATGTGGAGCGGCTCCTGCACTTGTTAAGAATGTGAGGAGGCCGCTCAAGGCTGGCTGCAAGAACTTGAGGCACATGGAGCCAGCCTTGAACGACAAAACCAAAGCTCCAATGCCTGGTTGAGCACAAAGGCTTATACCGTCAGGTAGAAGTGCTGAGGGGCGGCGACTTTGAAGCCACGCCCTTTGAAGAAAGTGTAGATAGAGCTGCTTCATTGTCTCCCAGGATGTTGAGGAGGATGTTTGTGAAGCCGGAGAGTTGAACGCCCGCCGACAGCAGAAGGCAAGTTAAACGACGCAGCCTGTGCGCGGACTCAACAGCTCCAACTGCCCTGCAAAACCTCATGGAGCTGCTCTGCGACGTAGGGCGAAGCGGGGGACGTCAGGGAACCAAAACTAGCCAAACTGCACTCGACGGAATTGAGCATTAACTTGGCGTTGGGGACGCGCGACGCCAACGCTTTGCAGACAGCTAGTTACTATGTCTGACAGTTGGAGTTTTGACGACTTGGTCCGACCATGATCTCCTCAGATTCTATTCTTCCCTGGGCACAATCGCCTCCGCGGTGTCCTACACAGCAGAGGCCGGTTCGCAGTTCCTTCGACCCTGCTGTTGTTGGGGGCTACATGTGCATCATGTTTTGTGGGCCGCCCGAGGCTTTGTCGCAGACCGGAAAGGTGCTGGAGGCCCTGGTCAAGTTCAGCACGTGTCTTCCAAGCCTCGGTGCTAGCGTGCTAAAGCCTCTGCAAAGTCAAAGGGCCAAGGTTTAGCCAAGGTGCCAAAGCTGGGTCATGTCAAAGATGCAGAAGAAGGTACTCGTAGACACAGCGCAGGCAAAGACTCTCGTGACGAGCTTCGGGGACAAGACGTTTTGTAAAGCGGTGCAGCAGCAAGTCCTTCCCTCAGCCTCACTGCATTGCAAAGAGGGGCACGCTACACCTTGCAGACCTGAACCTGCTTAGGTGAAGTTCATTTCCGAGCAACAGGCAGAGCGAAATCGTAATGCGCCGAGCTCGACCATGCTGTCCACCACTGTAGGGTGGCCCAGTCGGGTTTCTGGTGCTTGCATGGAGGAGCAAACCCCAGTGTTTTGGACACTCGACCAGCTTGCAAGGTCATGTACGAACAGCGTGCAGACAAAAAGGAAGAAGGCCTCTATGAAGGCCTGTCTTGCCGACGCTTTCTGCTACTGGGTGGCTGAGATTCGCATCTGTTCAATTTCGGGCCCGGCGAGGCTTGGCAAGGACGCAAACAGGCTTAGAACGATAGTTCAAGTCAGTTGGCACATGTCAGTCTTGCAAAATCAGGCTTCCAACCACCAAAGCATCCAAAGCTCACATTGTAGCAGCTAGCGTGGTTGCCCGGCACTTCGGGCCGACAGATCCAGCACCGCCTTTGGTTTGCGAGGCTGCTACATTTCACTTCTGGGTCACTTGGGCGCAAGCAGCAAGAGTTGGCTTTGATGCTTCACGCCTTGTCAGAGGAACAAGTCGTGGCCTGTTTAGTATTGTGGTAGAACTGGTTCCGTGCAGGTAAGCAGCAGCCGACGACGAACCTTGGGGGCATCACGCCGCCAAGCTTCTCCATTAACTGTGCATCTGCCGCCCACCAGGCCCTTGAGTTGCGAGCTTCTCATGTTGCCACCGTTTTCGATTCCTGAGCTCTGCACAGGGCAAAGAGCGAGACGCGAAGGATGCGAAGGGCAAGAACGATCGTGAGAAGACGAAGGAGCACAGAGATAATTTGAGTCTGAAGCCTGCAGTGATTTGGGGTCTGCGTGAGTGACGTCGCATCTTAGCTCAAGATTGGGTTTGGGTCAGTGTCATGCAGAAAACGGTTTCACGCAGGATGCATAGACACATGGATTTGCGGCAGAGGCGTAACTCAAGATGCATGTGGCAAGTTCGCGGTGATATTCTTAGTTCTAGAGCCGGAAGAACAAGTGGTGGGTGCACACCGGAGGTCTGAACTCTGAACTCGTGTCCAGTGTGTTGTCATGAGCCTTGCGAGTATCAGCTTGAAATAAATCATCTGGTTGCAAGACACGAAGGACGGCTCGTATGCCTTGCTTGTTGCATACGAGTCCACGATGTTTCCAACCTTGGGTGACATGCAGCCGCTCCGCAGCATTCCACATTTGTCAATGGAGGGCAGGGCTTCGAATGTCTGGAACCTTTCGTTTTTCTTCCTCCCCGCTGCGACTTAAGCAAGGTCCATGCTGTTTACCAACATGGCGGCCGCTTGAAGTGCATTGAGATTCCATGCCAACGGCACATCGACCTTATTGTACGAAGCTGTCGCTCGAGCCCTTGCGCAGACCTGTTGATTTGACTTCGGAACCTACGCATGCAACAGACTGACCAGCTGTACTGTGGGTCCAGCGGCGTTGTGGCTGAGTGCTGGCTTGAGGTGGCCCTGTCCCAAGATGGTCTGCTGGAGGACATGAGCTGTGAAGCTCTTCTCCGCTTTGGCAATAATCTCATTGTGGGCTCTGTTTGAAGCTTTGTAAAAGTCTTTTCATCTTGTGGCAGAAGACCGCGAGCTTGCATCAGTACTTCATGGCAGCTCTGACTGCCTACCCTTCGTGCTCTTTTATATACAGTAGAATGAATAGTCACGCGAGCAACGTGAAATCTTACAGCTAAAGATGAGAGTCATCGGCCTCTGCTATACGCCAAGCGCGATTCAAAGGACGACGCTGTCAGAAGTGTCACGTCTTGCTAACACGCTTTTAATAATTAAATAGCCGAAGCTTACTCAGAAGCGCTGCAAGAAAGTTTGGCGTGATTTTTTGCCACTTTCGCTGTTGACGTTCGTACGGCTCCTTAGAGTACTGCTTTCATGGTCGCCAAGTCCTTGACACTTCGGATCATTTTCGCTGTCCCTTTATGTAAGTCGAGCAGTGTCCATGTGAGCCGAGGCCTTTAAACTGACTTACTTGCAGCAGTTTCAAGCAACAATTTCCTCACAGACCTGGGCATTCGGGATTTTCGAGCATCCAGCGGTCGACGATGTTGTTTCTTGTCATGTTGCCTCGGCTTCACAATTATTTTTTCGCACTGTGCGCCTTCATCAATTTAAAGGTCAGGGTGCCGTTCTGCATGTTCTGTTCAATTCTTGTTAGCACTTGCATGGGTTGCCTCGTAAAGTAGGAATCGGCCGTAGGCCTAGTGGTTTGGTGAAGCTGCCTGCCTGAACGACTGCTCGGGACGGTCTTCTCTAATGTACATCGTGACAAGTGGCCAGATGGTCAACGTTGCATGTCGGGTTGCGTGGCTCTAACACCGAAGAGAGAAACTGAGGTTCTCTTTGGAATTCAGGGTTCGGGCCTGATCGCGTTCCCCAGCCTTCCTTGCTTCACGTTCTTTTGTTCTTTTGCCAAAGCTCCTTCTGCTGGATGCTTTTTTAGATCGCATGAAGCGGACGTGCCAAGCCTGAGCTGTGGTACGGGCTAAAAGCGGACTGAATGTGCTACTGTAAAGTACAGACTGGCAGGACGCACGAAGGTTCTGCGACAAGGCGCTTCAGATACAGCCAAGTGCGCTGCTTCCGCTGAGGACGAGCCTTGGCGGCGTGAGCGTGTTGCTGAGGCTCTGAAGTATGTGGTTTTCTTCTCGGGACAACGGTTTGCATTTATGTGTGCCAACACTACGGGGTTTGAATTCGGAGATTGAGTTTCAGCCGTGTAAATCTCGGCTTTGGGTCAAGCCCACTTTCTAGTCCCCTGGATTTTATTCTGTGTGTGTGTTTGTCTTTCCCGACAGCCGGGCTGCAAGATAGCAGGCTGGCAAATGGGTCGTTGGTGCTGATGAACCGTTTCAGGAAGGTTCTAGAACTTGCTGCGTCCTGAAGCCCAGGCTTGCCTTCCTGCTCCTGAAGCAAGGGAAGGGAGGCCTCCGGCGCCCTGAGCCTCTCTCTGGCTTTTTCTCGCGTTTCGACAAATTCCAGTAGTGTGGTAGCGGTACCGCCAGCTCCTTTACGCTTATGCTTCGAGTACGGCCGAAGCATTGGGTGCAGGCGAAGCCATGATGCGCCTCAAAGGACCGGGGTTTGGGAGCATCGGGGTTGCACGAAAGGCTCTACGCAAGCGTACATACGTGTACATACCGTGCGTTCGGGCGATTCCGACAGTACTTGGAGTTTGACCATGGCAAGCGACCTTGTCAGTTTCGAATCGTATATGGGGCACGCTTGGAAGACCTCTTGGCCTATCTTGTACTTGTCGAAGATGCGTACCGATGTACGTAGGCTGCCAACATCTCAGCAGCAGTTGCTGGAAGACCACATTCACCCTGCTGTTGTAACTACTCTGAATCGGCCATTGACGATTTTGTTCAGCAAATTCTTGCCATGCGCAGTGCTGGTTTAAAGAGCTTCTTGGATGATGCTCTCGCGATCTTCAGCGCACTTGCGAAGTGTTTCTTTATCCTGCGGCCATATAGGATGCGAGGTTTCCACCTTCGCCATGATCTGGTACATCAACTTGAAGCAACACTTTTCGATGTTGAGATCAACAGTGTGCTCTGCAACTTGCTTTTGCCAATAGCGGGAAAGCCTCGGGCAGCGCAAGGCATGAGAAGACATACGCTCCATGGGCATTTAAAGGATGACAGCTTCCAAGGCTTTAATTTGAACACCCTGGAATTGAAACAGCCCTTTTTTCCAAAGCCCAACCCTCTTTGACTCTGTATTCTCCTTGCAAGGAAGAACCCTAAAGGTCTATGCCACACACTCCCTACACCCGGTGACGTCTGACCAGGAGCTTCAACTTCAAGCGAAGATCAAGGCTCTGCTTTCTCTCTTCAGTATGTACTACATACTAGCCGCCATGTAAATAAAACGCAGAAGTATGTATACACATATGTATGTATATACATATAAGAATTACATATGTATATAGGTATGTCTGTATAGACGACGGCTCACTCAAAGCTCCGGGTTTCTTGCTTCGGCTTCCGGAAACCTTGCTTCCCGAAGCCAATCAAAGTCAACTCTCGGCTTGAAAAGTAAGCAATACTTTTCACCTCAAACAAACGATATTCCCAAGGAATTATATAAGCAAACATATCAAGCAACCCTCGGCAAGTAGCCTATTTTGGGTGCAGGCAAGCCTGAAGTCTTCAACTCTAAACCCTGAACCCCTTCAGCCTCAAACTCCGAACTTCTTGAACCCCTGAAGCTTTGAGAATAACAGCTTCAAGCCTAAACACTGAGACCCTAAACCCTGAACTCTAGACTCGAAGCCCTTCACTCGCCAGGCTCCTCTCGCCCAGAAGGCGCGCCTTTTGCCAGATATATTACAGGGGCCTGGATACTTGCAAAATTTGTGCGTGTATATATGTATATATGTATATAACATATACACATGTGTCCATGTTTCTTTCAGGTTCTCTTCGTAGCTATGCTATAATGGAGCCCACCGAAACTTTTTGTTCTGATTATACAGGAGGCGGGGAGGTTGGGTATGCTATCCGTTTAAAGTTAAGCCAGAGCAAACATTGACTGAGCACACATGCCCCCAAACAGATTGTGGCCGTACCTCATATCTCAACCAACGAGTATGCAGCAAAAAAGACCATGTATGGTTTTTACAAGCACAGTTTCATGTCCTCTGCCACGTGCGTCTCTACACTACCTCTCGTTGTTGAATGCGAACGGACTGCGATGCCCAGTCAAGTTGAGTGATAAGAGCTATGAGTGACTACTTGTATAGGTCAAGAGTGGAGGCACGCTACGCGTACTCCATCTCTAGGTGTTTGCCTGTGGGCATGCTTCGCATACCACAGAGCTGCACCAATTACCATATGCCGCCAACGCATCTTTGGCTCAAGAACGAGCACAAGCTCAAGATATCGATGCCAATAGTTTAGAATAGCTTATTGTCTTCTGTGACCTTTCTGAGGAACAGAGCCATCCCGAGCACAGACGATTCATCGCCGATCACAATTGTGAAAACATGCGAGCTCTGCCAGGGATAAGGGTCTGAACGTGGACGTGAAGGTGATAGATTATCGAGTCTGTTGAAAGGCAACCACACTCTTATTCAATAGCTCGGTGGGGTGAGCAACAAGGAACATCATCAATATCAAATCCCCACGCAGGTTATCAGCCGTAGGCTCTGCCTACCAACAGCAAAGAATACTTGATCTACCACGACCACGATGAACTCTGGGTCAAGTCAAGATACGACAATGAATTTCGGTGCCGAGATGGCAGCGCCGGCAATTAGCGATTCAGCCGCCGATGCACCGTGGTGCAGTCCGTTGACAGCTCCGCTGAGGATGACAAAGGTCAATCCTCTGCGCTTGCCATCGCTAAGGCAGTTCCCAAAGCGAAAGCCAAGGCTACTTCGAGAGCATCCACGCCTTCTCGTCCAACATCCGCAGGATCGAGGACAGCAAAGGTGGTTGAACGACGTGCCGAATTGTCTGGTTTGCAGATGGTAAGGACGCTGTCGACGGTAAAAGACAGAGGAGTCAGAACAGTGGACAAAGCGTCGAAACCAGCGTCTTCAAGAAGTTCGTCTGCAAGATCGAGGACATCGACAGCAAGGGTGAGGGAAAGATCCATGACGTGGAAGAAAATGGTGACAAACCATCCACGGGATCCTGACGATGAAGACATGACCTTGGAAACCATACCGGTTCGCGGTGATGCTTCGTCGGCTACGACCCCTACCATTGCCGATGATCCGAGTTCGCATCAGGCAATGACAATGTAACAGCAGCTCGAAGCTTCCAACATCGCACAGCAGATATACTACAGAAGTGAAGTGCAGAAGTACGAGAGCGTTGTGCAAGCCTTGATGGACAAGATCAAGGAGATGCAACAAGAAGATGAAGGATCTGGAATTCGCATTGAAGAATTGGAACGTCAATGTATGGCCATGCGGCACATCAGCAACGTCAATCAGGAGATGAAGCGTGACTATGAAGTGGCATTGTTCCGAATGGATGAACCAAACTCTGCTCAACAACGTCAAGGGCACACCGTTGCCGAGGAACTTGCTCAACAGTTGCACGTGGTTCGCTACCAGCTACGTACGGCTAGAAGCTAGAGCTTAAGGTGATGGTGAGCTGATGGTGAGAGAGTATGAGCGCCTTACGCATGAACTTCATGAATAAGCAAGAGAGAACTTGCATCTTCGGGCCAACATGGCTAGCTCTGAGCAGGCTATGTGTTCGATGCAGGAACGATTCAACGTCATCAAGAATCATGAGTCTCGAGTCGCTGGTGAGATGCAAGGCATGATCGGTATCCAAGCGACATCGAATCATGAATATCAACGACTTCGTGAACGCCTTGGTGAGGAAGAAGAGTTCCGGGTGATGGCCGTAAGAAGAACGCGGGAAGCTGAAGATCAACTTCAACAACAAGAGAATCATGCAAAGCAGTCTTTGCCAACCATGCATGACGAGTTGAACGAACTCAGGAGAGCTCTCTTAGAGCAGAAGAAGAACTTCAGTCAAGGACACGGAGTGAACTCGATGCAGCACGAATCTCGGCTCAACAAGCTGGATCTCTGCGGGCATCGAGTATGCCAATGTCTTCAAGGACTACTGAATCCGGCTGGGAACATGTAGGGAAGGATGCAGTGTCTGCATTTTCGCTAGGAGTTGCGATCCCCCGAAACACGATCACCTAGTCAGATTAGTCCTGTCGCCAAAGGGAAGTTCACTTTCGCTGAATCGACCAAAGACAAGATCCTCGTACATGATGGGTCAAAGATCATGGGTGAGAACAACTTGGGAGAAGTTGGAAGAAGTGACGTGAGCGTGTCCTATGGTACGGGTCCAATGGTTGAGAGCACGGTACCCGAGCGTTTTGCGCCACGTACCGATGCTTCTGCATTTGAGCGTTCTGCGCCTAGTGCAGCGTCGTTATTCGGCATACCTGTCGGTCCTACCCAAAGACAATCTGATGCACGAGCCGTGCATGACGGACAGTTTCGAGAGCTTCTGGAAGACCTTGGCATGAGGGGAAGAAATTCCACTTCATCAGCCAGCTCATCCAGACCTGTCCAACGTGACGGTGCACTTGCATCCAACAAAGATTTACGTCCTACTCCTGATTCGGTCCCAAAGCCCGTTTCCTCATGAAGCACGGAAGAGGCAACTTGAGATGGAATGTGAAGAGAAATACGAGGAGAAGATCGCTGATTTGCGAAGTGAAGTTCTCAACGCCCAACAAGCCGAACAACGTCTCAGGGCCGATCGCGACGAATGGCGAATGATGGCCGAAGCGTTGCAAGAGGCCGAAGGGGATAATGGCGAAGGTGGTGAAGATGGTGATGGTGAAGACGAAGATCTGGGTAACGATGCCGGTTAAGCCCCAGGCTCACAGCAGAGTGCCCGGGATCTTCTCTTTCTTGGGGGCTCGTGTCTCTTTTGGTGTCTCTTCTGTTTCTTCGGTGAAGTTAGATGAGCGATCATGGCAGCTCTGGCCCTCCAGAGCCTTCCTCAGATGAGCTGGAAAGCACAGAGCGCACGCCGCGAGATCAGCAAATGTACGGCCCACCAACGGCCGCAGATCTGGCTCCGAAGGGGCCGCCGAGACCTGTTCCTGTGCACTATGATGCTGCTAGCCACGCGCTGCCTCCTGCTTTGGCTGATCCAGCCACAGTCTCCGATGATAATGCCGACGGAGAGGATCATGATGGAAGTGCCCGGCCAGGGCCTACACACACAGGGTCGAGAAGACGACCCCGTGCATCGACTTCTTCCAGCTCCAGCTCCGACTCTGAGACCCATAACGCCGCTCACGCTACCGATGCAGACGACGAAGAGGAGCCAGATGCAGACGCGGCAGCAGATGCCGCCGACAGCCGCACTGACGGGGGATACTGGTCTGAGACCTCCTTGGTCTTGGAAGGCCGATGCCTGTGACACTTTCGTTACTTTGTACCGAAGACAGCTTACAGAACAACCAGAAGGCATCAACAACAGGACAGTGGGAGCACGTGTTGGTGCTCTGCGACGCTGCCTGCGACAGCTTCGATGGCCACAGGTCCAGGGGTTCGCGACACAACGTCTGGAAGGGCAGTATCTTAGGGAGTGGCTCCGAACGGAGCACAAGCTCACACATGTATACCACACGGGGGACACAGAAGAAGATGCCTGATGCACTGCGACTGACACAGCCTGTGGCTTTGTCTCCTCCTGGTCGTGCCAGGAGCCATTGCACTGCGAAATTTCAGCCTCTTAAACATCTTCACCCCCTTGGCCCCTTCCTTAAACTCCTTAAGCTCCCCAAGAGACCATACCCGACCAGGAGTGTGCACATGGCCGCTGCGGCTACAGCTGCTCCTCTGCCATCCCGGCTGCCTACAGCCAGTGCCGCTGCAGGCGGACAGAAGCTAATTACTAATTCCCTAGGTCCTCCCCCCTCCCTAAGTCCTACCAACACCCTGAGCTGTCGCACCCCTGCTGTGAGTAGAGCCGGTCCCAAATCCGGCCGTAGCCTGCAGACCGCGCTTGCACACATTATCATATCACAGGCTACTGGGGCGAGGGTTGCACCTGTTACCATGGCAGGTGCGGGATCCACTTCGGTGGAGAAGCATCATGGTCAGGCACCCCAGGGATCGATTGCACCCATTCCCAGACATGTCAAACGAGCATACAAACGAGCATGCGGCAGGGCTGCTAGATCCACCATAGGGGGCACTTGGTATAGGGGACAATGGCACAGCATACGCACGCTGGGACAGCTTGCTTCACCTGCCTCCCCTAATCATACTAGGCCCACCTCGAGGACCCGGCAGATCCCTAACCATCGTCCGAATAAAGACAGCCTCAACCTGCTATCGTGGAACGCCGGAGGCCTGTCGTCTCACGTATATCAAGAACTCCTCGCTTGGATCGATCAACAAAACTGCTACCAGATCATCATCATCCAAGAATCACATTGGACTTGTGAATCTGATTTTACATCAGGGCCTTGGCTCTGTATGCACTCCTCAGGATACGCATGTTCGCCCCCGGACAGGTCCAGTGGCATTTTGGTGATGCTCTCCAAGAAATACTTCGAGGATCCAGCAGTGCACGAGCCGATTCCAGGCAGGGTCCTTCAGGTTCGAGCGACTGTAAAAACGAGCCAGCTTCCGATCACAATAGTGGGGATCTACCAACATGTCTGGCGGACTCACTTGTCTACGATACAGAATCTTGAGCTGCGCAGGGGAGTCTGGCACGCTATTTCCACGATCGTGCAGCAAACCCCACAACGCCATCACCTCCTAATCGCTGGTGACTTTAATGCCAACCTCACCCCACAACACCCCCACGTAGGTGGTGCAGCTACCCGATCCCCGGCGGCCAACCACTCGCCGGAGCTGCAGCAGCTGCTTGCAGAAGGCAACCTCTGCGCCCTGAACACTTGGCACACACCTCATCGTGATACGTATGTAACCCCGACCCACAATAGTCAAATAGACTTCGTTGTGGTTCGTTGTGCCGAAGCTAAGGGTAAGGCAAAGCACTGTACACCCCTCGTGCGGTTTCCTGTTGCGGGCTGGCGGCAGGCTGGCCACCGCCCGCTTCATGCTGAGCTGTGGCTGCGACCCTTTCGCAGGCAAGAACCAGCACACCTGCCCGCCCAACATCGCTGCCAGTTAGATGTTCTGCAGCAGGCAGTGGCAGACCAGACTGAACCTGCACAAGCTATGCAGACTCATGTTGAGGCTCGCGTGCAGCAGCTGCTGCAGCAGTCCTCTCCCAATGCCTCCTGCCTTCAGGCCAGTCTGAATCAGATCTTGTGGGATGCAGCTGAGAAATTCTTTCCGGTTCAGCCTAAACCGGATAATCGCATAAGCAATAATCCGCAATATAAAGCCTCTGCCCGGCAGACATGGGCCCTGTATGCCAGACTCAAGTCAGCGTCGGTGGTCACCTTCTCTCACATTTGGCGAAAATGGCGCTTGCTAGTGCAGTTTCGAAAGGCCTCTCGGGCTCTTCGACAACAAAGCAAGGACCTCAAGCGAGCCTTCTATGAACAGCAAATTCAAGAGGCAGAAGAGGCTGCAGCCCGCCATGACCAGAGAACCCTGTATCAGATTGTCAAACGAATGGCGCCGAAGTCCTACAAGACTGCCTCTCGCCTGCTAGGCCCCGATGGTCGCTTGATGACGCCTTCTGGCGAACTGCAGGCCATCCTCCAGCATGGCAAGCAAACCTTTGCAGCCCTAATAGATGTAGAACACCCACTTGAGCCAGACGAGCCTCTTCACATTCCTGAACAGAGCCTGCAAGATGAACTTCGAGCCCTGAAATTACGAAAAGCGGTACCGGCTCATATTGCACCGGCGGCCGTCTGGAAGCAGTGCCATGCCTGTCTCGGCAGTTGCCTTGCCAGCGCTCTTAACGACCACTTTGCTCTGCCAGCTCAGCAGCCTCTGCAACATGACTGGAAAGACTGCTACATCAAGTGGCTCCCGAAGCCGAACAAACCACCGGTTTCTGTTGAAGCTCTTCGTCCAATCGGACTCCAATGTCCAACGACCAAAGCACTCGCAGGTGCCCTTCGTGAGCGGCTACTACAAGTACTTCATCCAGCCTTGGCCTCGCTTCCCCAATTTGCCTACATCAAGCAAAGAGGCACACAGGAGGCCCTCCTTAGGGTTCACATGCACTTCCATCAGGTTGCTAGTATTCTGAAAGACAACATTGTGGATCGATTCCAGCAAAAGGCAGGCAAGAAGGCTGCCAAGTGCATTGGAGCAATGAGCCTGTCGCTAGACCTTTCGCGTGCATTTGACAGTGCGAGCCGACCTGAAGTGTACCAAACCATGCTCCATCATGGGGTGCCCAAGGAGGTAGTAAATGCCGTGCAGCAGCTTCACCTGCATGCCCTTTACAAATATCAGGTAGGCCAGAACAGCTACGGAGCTACGAGCACAACCAATGGCGTGAAACAGGGCTGCAAAATAGCACCTTATCTCTGGTGCTTTCTAACCCTGCGGTTCATGGAGCTCCTTATGCAGTCCAGGAGTGAGCAATGGCTAGCTCACATCATGACAATCTTTGCGGATGATGTGTGGTCGAACTGGATTATACGTAGCCTGACTGACTTCAAACGAGCGAAAGCTGATCTTGAACTGATTCTTACCATCCTTGAATCTCTTCATCTTACTGTAAATTTTACAAAAACAGCCATCCTACTTGTTTTAGAAGGCAAAGATGCTGCAAAAATTCTTCGCGACCACACTGTCACCAAGGCCGGTCAACATCTTCTCCGACTCACTGTGTCAGGCCGCGACTGCACTCTTCCAATAAAGGCACAACATGAATACTTGGGGTCGATTGTCTCCTATCAGGGTCGTAAAAACTTGAATGCAGACCATCGTGTGAAGGCCGGGAACGGCCGCTATCAAGCACTTCGTCGTACCCTCAATGGGCATCATGTACTTACGGCTCATAACAGGATTCGCCTTTGGACAGCCTGTGTGCAGACCAGTGCACACTACTCATTGACTGCGGTCGGCCTGACCAGCAAAGGTCTTGACAAGCTGACGAAAGCCTCGACCAAACAGCTGCGAGCCGCTCTTAGGCAGCCGGCACACATCAGCCATACCACAACAGCACAGATCTGGCAGCAGGCGGGTCACCCACTTCCTGCTCAACAGCTCGCCCAGAGCCTGGAACAGTATGTCCTTAAACAACAAGCCCGAGCCACTACTGCACCCGACATCACCACAATGCCCCAGGTCCTACAGTATGCTGAGGAGCAGCTCCGTCAGCTGCAAATCCTTGCTTCCACTCCTCTGCGGGAGGAGCGAACCGTAGATGAAGCCTCCGTGCAGACCGTAGCCTGTCCGGAGTGTGGTGAAAGCTTTGCTAGCCTCAATGGCATGCGCATACACAGTCAGCTTGCGCACGGCAGGCTACCGGCACACCCAAAGTGCCCCACTACCTTCGATGCAGTGGCCCACTCAGTGGGAGGACTCCCAGAATGCCGTCTCTGTCACAGACGCTTCTTCAGGTATCAGCAGCTGGTTAAACACATCAACACAGGAGCATGTGAAGCCCTCGGAGGTGAAAGCTTCATTCGCAAACCCGTCGAAGCAGATGCACTTCAGGTCACGAGTGAGATGCCACCGGCAACCTCCTCCGACAGCCACACTCTGGACGTGGAAAACATACCTGAAGATCAACTGCCCTTAGTGCGTCGACCGTCCTTCATTCAGAGTGTGCACAGCTGGGCCTCCTGGCCCCTGCAGCCAGGTACCCGCAAGGATCTTCTTGAGCGCTGTGTTTTGTGCTACATGTGGCTTGCCAGCTCGAAGCACGTAAAGCAACACATGAACACTATTCACTCACATGAGCTAGGGGACGTTCCTGCAAGAGCTCTTGTGCTCTGCAAAACCTTCAAGTCTCAGCTCACACGTGGACGAGCATGCATGTATTGTAAATCCACCGTAGGAGCTCCGGGCAGGCACTCTACCCAGTGTACTGCCCTCTACCAGGTTTCAACAGCAGCCCTCATTGTGCAGGATCGGCTCCGGCAACATGGCAGGGGAGAACCCAGAGGCCGACATCTTCCGCTACTGTTTTCCCAGCGGAGCTCCTCCTTCAAGCACTCCGACAACGACCACGGTGTCGGACATAGCGACACCGGCACCGACCCACGCTCAATCGAGATCCAAGCGTCAGCGGCCGGACCATCATCAGCGCCCGCATCCTCCTCGAGGACACCACTTCGCGACCTACCAGCCGATGTACACCAGCCCTCAGGACCAGAAGATGATGGCCATCACCAAGCTCCTGCTTCAGCACGAAGATCGCATCAACTGCCTCAGCCTGGACCGCGGCCTGGTGATGTTTTTGAAGGAGGACACCCACAGTGTTCTTCCGGCGATGATGCGAGCAGCCCGAGAGTGGAACGCTCGCAAAGATCAGGGCGACGATCGCCTTGTCTCGCCACTTCGGACCGTGCTCCTGGCGAACCTCATCAAGGAGTTACAGCAACGACTGCAGCACGTCGTGGCCACTCAGGAGGGGAGGGATTCCTTGCGGAAAGCCAAATGGCTGGCAGAGAATGGGGACTGGCACTACATGAAGTGGTGCAGGAAGACCAAAACTCTCATCCCAAACGAGGACCGGACACCGCTGCAACATACCGAGGCTGTGAGAGTGCTGAGCTTTCTCTACGAGAATCTGAAGTACGACATCATTCAGAACTTCAAAAGCACTCAACGGCTCCAGCACTTGGAGGATCAGAACCGCACCTCGGCCACGTTTCTGCTGGACATCTCCTTGAGGGGCTCTCTGGCTCAGGAGGTCTACGAGCACTTCGAGAAGCTGATCAACTGCTCCCTCACAGGACTCATCGGAATGAGTTTGAAAAAGGAGAGCATGGTTCGGAAGCCAGCGGCCACACAACTGGCCCAACTCATGTTTGGCAGCTGATCCCGACTGCCAGCTCGGCTGCACCATGGGAGGTGAATGCTCAAACGTCGGACTCTCAGGATGCACCACCAAGCACCATTCGTGTGCATCAGATTGCCATGCCATCCTTCCGATTGCATAATCCAAATAACCTTTGCTATTTGAACGCCGTTATCTATAGTCTGTGGGCGGCGGCAGTGCACACAGGCAACATGTCCGTTTTGCCCCAGGTGCTTAGGGGACATGCTGACGGGATTGACTTCATACACATTCGCCGTCACCTGGGTTTTCAGCTTCTGGGCTGGCGCCGGCCTGAGCAGCAGCACGATGCCACTGAGCTGATAAATCACCTGCATCCGAAACTGGCCGCCTCTGTGGTCAAAGGAGTTGTGGAGCTCCGCTATGCAACGGATACAGGCATTGGCAAAACTGTCGATGCCCCCATAACACACTGTGTCATCCTGGTTGAGCCTCCCGCCCACCATCCTGATATACAACTGCTCATAAATTTTTGGCACAGTCAGGACACCATGTATGCATTCACATCAGCAGCTCCATGGATCTTCATGCAGATTCCACGATTCGCATGGTCAAGTGGCCAAGCTGTCAAAACTGCTCAAGCCTATCATTTGACTCCTCATGTGCAGGTTCCTGTGTATGCCAGCTCCACGGGGTATGATGTTGAGTGGGTGCCTTATCGTGCAATAGCATACATCCAACATCATGGCCAGACGCCTTGCTCAGGCCACTACACCACGATCCTTGCTTCGGGGGAGAATAGCTGGACGGTTTTAGATGACGAAAAAGAGCCGCATCCGCTCGAAGCTTCCATGCAAGCATCCGCGCATCAAAACATTTACATTGCTGTGCTTGTTACTTGTTAACTTGCGAAGCTTTAGCTCAAATCACACAGCGCGTGTGTCAGAGCACCGACATGAAGCCTGCCTATCCGCTGTCAGCCTCACAAACAGACATAGTGTGGCTCAGTGGACAGATGCGCCTTCTGGAATCAGAGATGAGAAAAGTCTCGACGGATCTGCTTACGCTTCTTCGGCTCTACAACACCATGGAGCAGAGAGTTCGCCTACTGGAGACCATAGTGGGCAACATTCGCTGCACAGTGCAAAGCGAGCAGACTCAGACATCGATCACATCCACCACTCTGATCCGGATCGACTGGGAAACCATGGATGACTGAATGGTCATCTATGTACGTCACCTAGGTGTTTTTAGCAATCGATGCCCATAAGAGGCACTCGTGCCATGCTCCCTTGAGGGGCCGTCATCGCAAGATATGCGTGATGTAGGTGCCCGCTGGACGGAGAACCCTTTCCGCCGCGAGAGAAGAACGATGCCGGTTCCGGATATCATCCTCCTGATCCACCGGATCCTGATGATGAAGATGATAAGAAGAAAGGAGGTGGTAAGCCGGACCCGATCGACGTGACCTTGACGGAGATGCAGATCCTGAGATCACTGAAGTTAAGATTTCGAGGAGAGAGGCTGACAAAGTCAGCGTTCCTCCATGGCCTACTCTCACTCACATGGACAATTGGCGATCATCTTGTACTGCCAACGTCCTCAGCGCGTCCGCTGATCCCAACCATGAGGATTGGATGGCATGGCTCGATCCAGCTTTTAGTCCGTTTCCTGACATTGAAGCTTTTAACGATTCAGGTCACAAAAAGTTCAAGAGCATCGATGTCAAGTTGGGTGTCGCCATGACGGCAATGCTTCGCGCTGGTGGTGACAAAGCGGCCGATCTCTACTTGGAAGTGAATCGAAAGGCGAATGAATACATTCGTGCACCCACAGGAAAGATCATCAAAGGTCGGCAAATCAATGCAATGATGTGTGGAAGCTTCAGGACTCACGATCGACTGGACATGATCATCACTTTGGACTATCTGGTCAAACTCCAGTACCAGGGTGACAAGAAGCTTCACACGTTCACACAGACGTGGCTGGAAGTTCTTGGACCTCTTCGCGATTGCTTGTACAACAAGATCAAGGACGCCGCCGCTATGAAGATGGAACTGGGTATGCATTATGAGCATTTGCCTTACAACCATGAAAATCGGTCATCTGAGAATCTCACCAAGATCATTGACCGAACAGTCATGCGAAGGCGTGAGCAAAAAAAAACATTGCCCAGACCCAAGTTGGACTTCGCCAAATGTTGGAAGGCAAGGATATGCTTGCTGCGCCAGCCAAGACTCCTGACAACAAGGCCAATGCAGCACCGACTCCAAAGACCAAAGGAGGTCCGAAGCCTGACAATGCAGCTCCTGTGTTACCACAAGGCAAGGCGAAGACCCATGCGAAGGCAAAGGCGAAGCCAAAGAAGAAGGCCAGAAGTGCATCTACGGAGGCAAAAGACGACAAAAGCAAGAAGCATATTCGTTGCAAGTTTCATTTCACAGATGCAGGGTGTCGAAATGGTGACAAATGTCCCTTCAGCCACTCAAAGAAGACTCCAGAACGACCCTTTACGCCAAGGACAACAACTCCGAGTCCATTTGGTCATTGGTGGAAGTTCCAATCGAATATGCTACTCATTCAAGAATACTGGGTCATGCTCGAGGGAGAATTGTCCCTTCAAGCACGAGGCTGCAGCTACCGCAGCACCGGAACCCAAAGCGAAGGCGAAGGCCAAATCCGAAGCTAAAGCAGCAGCAGCAAAGAAGACCCCAAAGGCCAAAGCGGTGCCAGCTGCACCAGCCATCAGACTTTGTCGAAGGTGGAATCCGTCCGCTGCTGCCATATGGAAGAGATCCTCACGACAACGTGATGACGAATCTTCCGTGGACAGTGATGCTGACTCGGATTGTTCAACTGACGATGAGGCACCTGAGACGGTTTTGCCGATCAGGTCAGCCAAGAAATGCAGAGTATCGTTCGCGGAAGATGTGAAGTTCGTATCCTCGAAACCGAGAAGATCCAGCAAGGACACGAAACAGGACATCACAATCGTGGACGTTACGTTGACGCATTCGTGAATCACGAGAATCGTCCAGTGGACGTAGAGTTCGCCAAGCACAAAGCAAGGCTGAGGGCACAGATCATGAGAGACATGGTCGATGATGATCGTGAAGGTGATCGAGTCTCTTTTGTTCGGATACCAGGAACGTCTCGAGTGGAAGAAGTTGCCTTCTACGATGGCGAAGATTCTATCGTTGAGCGTGAACTGGATGCCGCACATAGCAAGAGCATCATTGACAGAGGCATGTTTAAGTGTGCATGGTCCAACCAGTCCACTTACGAAAGAAGATCAAGTTCTTGATGGACACAGGTTGCGGACACGATCTCATTTCACAGAAGAAGATCGAGAAGCATGAGCTCGAGACGCTCGTTACACCAGAACCCATTTCCTTTCAAACGGCAAACGGAGTTACTGACACCGATCTGGTATCGAACTTCCAAACCGAGTCGTTCGAGGAGCCAATCAACGCCTATGTGCTGGGAGATACACCATCAGTGTTATCCATCGGAAAGCGTTGCATGAACCTCAACTATGGGTTTGTTTGGCCACTAGGAAGGGAACCATTCATGATCAACCCTGAGGGGAAGAGGATCTGACTCTTCGTGAGCGGTGACATCCCATACCTCCGGGCTGGGAGTGCCAAGTCATTTGTTCATGATGATGCAGAGGCTGCGGCGATCTCCGAGATCTTCACGAAGGTGACATCCACGAACAGTGTTGCCGTGATGCGGTGGTAGCTGCCGATGCGGCGCCAAGTGAAGTGGAGGAAGAAGAAGAGGACGGTGTTGCGCTCGGTCGCCCACCTGATCCAGAACCTCATGAAGTCCCAGGAGAAGAAATACCCGAGGCCGAGGCAGGAAGACCTCCGGACGAAGATGCTGGAGGAATTGGTGAAGTTCCTCGTGGAGACGATGATGAAGAAGTTGTCGAGGTCGAGGGCGACGGTGCTCCAAGCCGCAAGGCCAAAGTCGGAACACTGAAGGCCGAGGCCAAGACGCTTGCGCACTTATGCACTCATGGTTATCGCAACCCCTACTGCGATTCACGCATTCGCGCAAGGATGAAACATGTCCGTACACAACGCGGAGCATTTCAACGGGAGATAAAAGCTTGGGGAGATCTCATTACGTTCGACTTCTCTGACATGCGCAAAGCCGCAGATGCCGGAATCGGAATTGATGACGGTGCACGCGAAGTTCTGGCAAGCAGGGACATCGCGACGAAGATGATCGCTGCAAGCCCTGCGGCATCCAGGCATACTGACGAAATCGTCATGGCCGTGAAGTGAGTGATTGGGAGACGGAAAGTCAAGATACAGCGATGATGCACCTGAGTTTCAGTCGGCAATGTTGGAGTTGAAGATCGTTCTGGATCACTCGTTACCGGGAAAACCCAACAACAGTTCTCTCGCTGAGAGGACGAAACAGGAAATCACCAACACGGTCGCTGCGTCTATGTTGCATGCCGGGTTACCCTCGCAGTATTGGATATTCGTGCTGAATTGCGTGACTCACAACCTCAACATTGAAGACGTAGAGGGTGATGGTGACTCATCATGGAAGAGGATGGCCGGAGTTGAGTTCGAAGGGAAAGCCATACCGTTTGGTGCCAAAGTGTTCTTCCAGCCCACGGATACGAGGGAGAAGACCTATGGCAACAAGTTTGATCCAAAGGGCATACCTGGTATATTTGCCGGATACGTCGTCACAATTGGTCAAGGTTGGTCACGGAAGTATCGCGTCTGGGATATGAAAGAGTTTGCACATGCGAACTTATCAATGGATGCATCCGTTCCCAGGAAGTTGATGCGACCGTATGAGACAGAGGTTGTCTACTTTCCTGAAGAGATCACGTTTCCATTGAAAGCAGAGTATGAACGGATGAATGAGACGATTGAGGGGCTCAAGGACAATGTGGACCTTGGAGGAAAGGAGATCAATGACATTGACAATGGTGATGATGGGCCGCCCGGCGGACCTGGCGGTGGTGGCGGAGACGGGGATGATCGTGACGATCTACCTCCTCCGCCTGATCCTGG